TACATGATGTGAGGCTCTACATGTGGGATGAGCCGTTCTTATACAGGCTATGTGCAGATCAGTTGGTGCGAAGATGTGTTCCTGAGGAAGAGATGAATGTCGTACTGCATGACTGTCACGCTTCGCCATATGGAGGTCATCATGGTGGGGATAGAACCACCCAAAAAGTTCTACAATCAGGTTTCTATTGGCCAAATTTATTTAAGGATGCACATGCCTTTGTTAAAAAGTGTGACAGATGCCAAAGAACCGGAACAATCACAAAGAAGCACGAGATGCCGCTGCAAAATATTCTGGTTTTGGAGCTTTTTGATGTTTGGGGGATTGATTTCATGGGACCGTTCCCATACTCTAATGGTCATAGGTACATCTTGGTGGCGATCGACTATGTTTCTAAGTGGGTGGAGGCCATTGCTCTTCCCACTAATGATGCAAAGGTTGTGGTAACCTTTGTCAAGAAGCACATCTTCACACGCTTTGGAACTCCAAGAGTGTTGATAAGTGACGGAGGAACGCACTTCTGCAACAAATTGCTGAATAATGTCCTTGCAAAATATGGAGTTAAGCACAAGGTTTCCACGGCCTATCCCCCCCAAACGAGTGGTCAAGTGGAAGTTGCAAACAGAGAGGTAAAGCAGATTCTGGAGAAAACAGTCAGTGGAAATAGAAAGGACTGGGCCGGGAAGCTAGACGACGCATTATGGGCATATCAAACTGCATACAAGACTCCCATAGGTACTTCTCCGTATAAATTAGTTTATGAGAATGCGTGTCACTTGCCCGTCGAGCTTGAACACAAAGCCTATTGGGCAATTAAAAAGCTGAACATGGATATGGACTCAGCTGGAGAGAAGAGGTTGCTGCAACTCAACGAGCTTGATGAGTTTCGATTGCACGCATATGAAAATGCCAAATTGTATAAGGAAAAGACTAAGAGGTGGCATGACAAACTCATCCAACACCGAGAGTTTGAGCCGGGGCAAGAAGTTCTTTTGTTCAATTCGCGGTTGAAACTTTTCCCCGGAAAGCTTAAGTCTCGTTGGGCAGGTCCTTTTGTTGTGGTAAGTGTGAGGCCTCATGGAGCTGTGGTATTGCATGATACGAGCTCGAGTGGTACCTTCTTGGTTAATGGCCAGAGAATAAAATATTATTGGGGTGGTGACATTGCACGTCACAAGACCTCGGTGGACTTGGCCGATGCTTAAAAAGGTATTGAGTCGTGCCGCGACGTTAAATCAGGCGCTCGTTGGGAGGCAACCTAATTTTTACTGTTTTCGTAGCATAGTTTTTTTGTTTTCTCTTAGTTAAAGTAGACTAACATTTTTGTTTTGTTGTAGTTGTATAAAATATTAGGTGGGGATGGTGGAGTTTGTGTGAATTATGTATTGAGGGCTCGGGTAGTATGTCTATAAAAAAAAAATAGCAAACTGAGCGCCCAGCCCAGCGCCCCACGCTGGCTGGGGCGCAATTTACAGTAGCCAAAAAGTTTCATCGCCAGCCCCAGCGTGGGGCGCTGGGCTGGCCGGTCCAGGTGAGTATTAAATGTTTTTTTTCTTTTTCCTCCCTTATTTGATTAAATCCCAAACCCAATTAACCCAACCCAATTACCCATATACACTCACAACCTAACCCATACCCAATACCCAAATCCTTCTCCAAACTAAATTAAGACAACAAAAACTCAAAAATACATCACCTCTCTCAAACGACTCCCTCTGTTGAACTGCCCGTTTTCTCTCTCTCTCTCTCTCTCAATCAAATTCTTCAACCTTTCTTGCTCAACTTAATCTCAAGACTCAAAGGTATGTTCTTTTTATTCTCTTTTCTTGTATTTTGAATTTTTTTAGTGTAAGTTTAGTCTTCTTCCTCAAACAACCCCAAAATCTCATGGTTTGCATTGATATATCTTGTTGAATATGGTGGTCTTAAGATACACGAAAATTTGGTGCAAGAATTTGGTTGTGATTGTGCTTGAAGTAGTAAACTATAATTCCCTCTACTTCATGTAAATTTGGGAGGTCCACCTTGTTCCACCATTGTTGAAATAAGAGAGCAAAATTGATGCGTACAAGGTGTTTGCTAAAATGCCTAAAAGAGTAAATTTGAACACCGGTGAAGTCTAAGTAGCCGAGTGTAGTTGTACTTGAGTTTGGGCGAAGTGTGGGGTCTTTGGAGGTATTGTATGTTGTTGTAAACGTTTGTAAGTCATAGTTGGTGTATTAAATTGGTGTAGTAATTTAGATTTTAGTTCTCTTATGCCTGCACCATAGTTAAGTTACGGGCATATTAAACCACTTGAATTGTATGTCATAGGGAAGTCTTGAGTACCTATAGCCTTGTGATGACACATAGATGCATGTTGAGTCAATATTGTGATTCGATTATGCATAGCCTTCGGTTTTAAGTGTGAGGTCCTACTTGCCCCTCACAATGACCTTAGGCGAAAATTTCTTGATTCACTCTCATCTTTGTGTTTGTCTTGTGTAGGTTGCTATGGCTCGTGACAGTGCCTCTAAAGGAAAAGGGGTGGGGAAGTCCTCCACTACCGCTCCACCACCAAAGAAACCCAAGAAATGTGAAAGCTCTTCCCGACAAGCCAAGGGAAAGCAAGTGGCTAGCGGGTCTACTAAGCAATCACGACCTCGGTTGGAATTTTTACATGATGACGGCAAGAAATGGCATGATACTTTTGTTCTATACGGGAGATATGTGTCTGAGATGGGGATACCCTGATGTACTTGCTACATTGATCGACACGAAGATGGGTAAGTTCCTTGAATGTCTGGGTCCTCCGGCAAATCTCAGCATGGTCCAAGAACTATATGCAAACTGGAGCACGAGAGCTAATGAGTCGTGCGTCAGAGGAAAGACCATTCCAATGCATAGGGAGGCTTTGTGTCGTTTTTTGGGAGTTGATAACCCAAACCCGCGAAGGCTTATAAAGTTTGTCAAAAGCCCACGCTACCAAGCAATACGTCACACACTTTGTGGCGTTGATTCCAATGCCACATGGATGCGAACTAGGGGGGATATTCACCTTGAAATGCTCAGATTTGACTTCAACAAGACGGCTAAAGTTTGGCAGAACTTTGTGCAAGCTAGACTAATGCCTGTGGAGCATAATAGTGAGTGTATTCGAGCTCGAGTGTGCTTGATATACTTTTTGATCACCGGGCGCCCCATAAATGTAGGTGAGCTCATGCTTGGGGAGATGGCTCAAACCCATTTTGGAGGGAGGATCAAGAGGTTCTTCTATGGCAACATCCTAACACAGTACATGCTATCCTTTGAAGTACCGGAATACCCAGGTTATGATGAGGTGGTGGAGGCATCCACGACATTACTAGACATCACATCCTTGATAGAGTCCACATCCAAGCTCACCCAAGCCGCAAGGAATGAGAGGGACGAAAATTTTAACAGGTATCTCTACAAAACTGTCAATGTGATTATGAGCAGGCTAGGGGTGTCAGAGGAGGAGCGCACACAATTGCGCAATGAGCTCTCCAGTTCGTCCAAGGAGATGTTGGGCATAGCACCGGGTAGTCCTATTCATCCCTCTGAGGATGAAAACACTCAGATTAATTATCGGGTAACGGGACATTACCTAATTAATTAAGGATATATTTGGATAAGATTATACCCCCACCCCCGCCCCACGTAGCAGCAGATGAAGGAACACTTAAGTGACTTGTCTTTAGACAAGTCAACTAGTGGGCACATGGACAACAAATCTTAAGGAATTTTACACGTAAGAAGTGATTATCTTAGCTATCTTTATCTTGTCTTTCAAGACTATTCAATTCATTTTATAACAAGAAAATATAATGAAAGGAACAACAAGGAACAAAGGGAGGGAATTCATGAAGTTAATCTGACACTTTTCATTACATTTCTGACGGCAATTCTTGAATTTAAAACAAAATTCATACCAAGTTCATACAATCAGAACAATAGCCGTGAAATGACAATTACAAAGCACTACAAAGCAGAACGCCATTCTTCATGTTTTCAACAGAAATGTCTTGCAACAAAGTGATTCCATCGAAAGTTATTAGAACTTAGCAACGTAAAANGAGAATACTCTTTGAGCTGTAGTTGTATTATTTTTTTTAGTTAGTTCAAGATTAACATAGCTTAATTTAGCTAGATTATAAAAGGAAAAAAAATCAAAAAAAGCTTGGACTTTTCCCGACGATGGATCTGTTGGACAATTTTCTTGAGGGATTAAAGTCCGATTAAAAATACCAAAAAGATTTTCTTTTTTTTAGGTAGTTAGGTAGCATCCCTTGGTTTTTCTTTTGACACCGGTTCTTTTCCAAGGGTGTAGCTCGAACCAGGTATTCTAGTTTAGATTTTTTATTTTTTATTTTTTTATTTTTATTTTTTCTTTCTTAGGAGTAGGAAAAGGGAAATTGAGGTGCTTTGAGATACCTATTGACATGGTTGGTGTTGGCAATTTAAAGTTATGGCATGCGCTCTGTCTTTCTGCATATATTATTTAAATTGTAATGCCCAAGTAAAGTAAGTAGCCTACTCTTTGATGCCTTTTTCTCAGTTGATTGATTTGTATGCTACCTAGTGCATTGTTGCTTAAAAATTCTCAACTTGCTAGCTTGCTTGACTTGAGAGTTGCACAGAACCATCTTGAGTGAGTCAAGTGCCATGTGTGTGTAAGGATTTTTGATACTCTGTGCTATCCTGTGTAGTCTAGAACTTGCCCCGTGTGTTAATCAACGCGAAATCATTAAGTTATGCTAGTCTAGGAGATGATGTAGGTGTTTCTTACTTGACCATGAAGGTGCTTGTCACTTATAAATAAAATTTTCCCATTGCTAGCCCTTTGAGCCTATAGACCGTTTCCTTGGCACCCAAGGAAGCGCAAGATGAGAGAAAAAAATAAGGTAACGATGCGACCACCATACCAAATCGGTCGTTCCATAATGTGGTGTTTTTCGTTGTTATGTAACGACGGATTTAACGATACGATAGAAAAAAAATTAAGTAACAATCAAAACAAACATTGGATTTAAAGTAACAGTCTCATACAATAGAGCAGGTAACAACCATCCAAACAAGCTGTAAAGTACCCGACCATCAACACGAAAGAAAATAAGAAAAGTACAGCAGGATTTTAAAAACAAGCGAGACACAGATGAAAGAGACTCTTATACTATATGTTAGCCGGCGTAATCCATTGGTCCATAAGGATCGAACCACTCAGCCAAAAGACCCTTTTTCCTCTTAGGATTCCAGCCCATGTCCCTGCACAGTTGGTCATTGTACCAAATATGCAACGCAGCGATGCATGATCTCCTGTAGTTCTTCGAATATGAATATCTCTTCTTGTATTTATCCCATTCTGCTATGTCTTTCTCCATGACCTTGATATTAGGTAGCTTAAATTTTCCATCAAGAAGTTCTGCCAGCCATCGGCATCTTATTTCCGAGGTGTATAGATTTGCTACACTTTCTGAGAATCCAATTATTGCCAGTTGTGGAATTTGGGGATGAATGCATTCCCTGAAAATCATCCGGAATGACATTACTTTCACACAAGATGAGGTTATATACATTCGGATAAATCTGATAAACGTATGCAAAAGAATTCTCACCGCTACATAAGGATTTAATACTCACCTATAGAGAGGAACTGCATAATCATCTTTCCCTGCAATGAAGCCTTGGAATTTTGGTGATTCAAAAATGTGTTTGAGCTTATCAATTCCCTTGAAGCCAGTAGCGAGTATGACTAAGTCGGATTTTATTGGTTCAGCCTGACCCTCGAGCACGATGCCTTCTTTTGAGAATCCAAAGCTCTTTGTTTTCTTGAGCTTGATACTTCCTTCCTCAACTCTGTCATAAAAGCCCTCAGGCACTATAGAAATTAAACATGAACTCAATTCCTTTAAGAAACTATGATCTGGCACCATTCCATGTTTTGCAAGCCCGAGTTTGTGTTGTAAATAACTTTCTACAAATTTTGAGAAGGCCCACCTCTGTAAAATAGGAGTGAAATCAATTTAGTACTTCATGTTAGTTTTGTGAGAGAAAAAGTAGAAATCATATTGTTGTAACTTTGAACTTATGAGTAGTAACTTTAAGGCGACATCTAATAACTTGAGAAGGAAGAGTGGTAACTTTGTCGACACATGTTGCTGAGTTGTTTCAGCAGCAATTGTATTTATTTTTCTTGTTTCCTCACTTAACTTGTTGCATGTATATGTGTTACATATCAGTCATATAGTTTGATTCTTCTGACTTATATCGTTGACATGTAACCTTAATATTGTAACTATCCAGTTAAACTCCACTTTCTTAGTTCATTTATCCTTTTGGGTGCCTAGTGGTGTCATGTAAAGAATCTTTTCTTTGCTTTTTACATGCCATTAACCTCCCTATCAGTTATTATTTTTTGTGAGTTTGGACGATCAGTGGTTGGTTGCTTGTGCAACAAGTGAATTTTACGCGCTAGAGGAGTTCAATAACCTTCCTTTCCATATTCAAGGTCTTTCCAATTTAGAAAGCTACTCAGATTCTCAGTCCTTTGTTATTGAGCCAGAAATATGGCTACAGTCCACGGCCAGAAACGAACAGTACTTGTTTCTTAATATGTTCATCTCAGATCAAGAAACCTCTAGTCAATCTCATGGTGTATGGCTTTGTCTTCAGATGCATTATTAATGTGAACGAGAAAGCATGACTAATCGTTGCTGCACATATAAGTTGAGTCTTTATATGAGTTAAATTAGTCAAGAAGAAAATAATTACCAATGGTGAAAGAGTTGTGGCGAGGAGACTTAGAAGAAGGCCTTCGCCGGGTTTATGCACCATAAGTTCGGAGAATCGATTTAGGTAGAGATATGCCAAAGGGAATCCCCATGGAAAATAATCGGGAATGTTCCAATGTGGTGTCCTGGTTATTACTGTGCATGGACGTTCAATCCCTGCAAAAATAGTGCAACCAGAGTGAAGCTGATATTTATAAACAAACAATAAAGGGGTAGAGGGAATGAAAGTATATAGAAGATTATTAGCAGTAGTTACCATTAACTATGGAGCATTCCATGGCAATGTCCATTCCTGATTTCTGGGACCCAATGACGGCTACATGTTTTCCTTTGACGAAGTTGGTTGCAGTTGTGGAGTCCATTTTGGAATAATCCATTGAATGGATAACTTTACCCTCAAATACTTCGGGACCTTTATTTAGAGGAAATTCAGGGATGTTTGGAACTTGGCTGAATCTTCCCACGCAAACCACTACAAAATCAACTTGGTATACCTGCAGCCACGAGAGATATGGTCAAACCACAAACTAATATTTGCGTTGTATGAATCTTCTTTTTTTCCCCCAAACATATCTTCAGCTTAGTAAATTCTTATGGCTTAATTGTAACAACTTGTGATCTGCTTATCAAGAAAGCTTTAGTCATTGTAACTGATATACCAATAACATGGCTAGCCAGCACAGATTACAGTGTTATGGAGATACATATCAAGCAGGAGACAACTCGGATAATAAACCCAACAATAAACATTGAATTGAACTTGTAAAATAATTTGTGGAAGTTTTTGAAATGGCACTCTGTCGTACAGTTACAGAGAACCGCTATGCAGCTCTGCTTGGTTACAAACAATCATTATACACACTCCTCTTCTTTTTAAATGGAGCTTCTATAGGGACTAGTTGTCGGTCCTCGAAGAAGAGAAATTTCAATATTGCTTATGTTTGAATCACGAGTTTTGCATTAGATTATTAGCTATTCCAGTAATTACTGGGGAATTATATTAAAACAGTGTTAGTAATGTAATACTAGCTTGTCTGCTCCACTACTCTTACTAATGTATTCCACTACGTAAATACTACTGTACTAATTGACCCAAATTATATGGCAAACAAACTAAGGGAATAGGAGATAAAGAAAGAGTAACAGCCGGCGGCATAGCAATTTTTTTTTAATGGATTTGCTATATATATAAGGGGTGGTTAATTATCTAATTACCTGCGGGGAGGGGTTTTGAGTGTCCTGTACAGTGACATTCCACTTCCCTTTACTGCTTAAAGGCTCCCCGGCGCCGCCCCACAAATTCCATTGATCTCCGTCAGAGCCGCCACCAGATTCATAACTGAGGCTCAACACTTTGCTATTGAACTGAATGTGTCGGAGCAAGTCGAAGTGACGAGCATACGATTCAATGTACTCCATTACAGCTTGTTGGCCGGGGAACATATCGGTTACAGAATCAGGCCATGGAAAATCAGAGAACTGGTAAAAAGGTCTTGGTGTCTGCAACTTGGTACTCTCAATGGTCTTAGTCCACACACCCCCAATGCTGTCCTCGGATTCAAACACTATGGGATCGAAACCTTTTGAAAGGCTGTATTTGCAGGCCAAGAGACCACTTATTCCAGCTCCTATTATTGCTATCACCTGCTTCTTTCTGTGATTAGTTGCCATTGTTACTGCGATAGGATGAATAACTTGATTTCTGTACTTCACCAAGTCCACACAAACTTTGATAGTCCTATAAGTATTAATTTATTGGTAGTTGATCTACCTTTCCTCTTGTATGATTTATATAAAAATCTTAATTACCCTAGCATTATATCATTTAATTAATATCTAAACCATAAAAATATCTGAGTTATGCAATAGACAGCACGACAACAAGTATTATATTCCTAGTGAGCATAACTAACATTATTAAGAAATTGTTGGCGCCTAAAATGGTAATGTCGCTTTCCAGTATTACCAGATTTGGATGCTAATCAGGATTAGGTACTTAAACAGATTGCATTACTTGATCAGAACACGCAATCCTCTATCAGTGGCTTTTCCCAAGTCCCTCCCTGATTTTTTTACATCTCTTCGTCTCCACGTGATTGATTTTTTGTTGAAAATATCAGTGTCAATATCTTAATAGTGGCATCAAAGTTAGAAACGTTTGTAATATATAGTACTGATAGCTACATTTGTCTTGACAATCATATGTCCTAAGACGACATGGGCCATACAATTGAATAATGTTGCCCAATAATATGCAGGTCTTAATACCCATCTACACTGGGGCCCGCAATTGAGCTTCCAAATGCATCATCCTTTAGCCTATACATTTTGGCCAATTTTTTGGAGCTATCTTTGCCAAACTTAATATAAGGCTAAAAATTGCAAATGAGGATAATCTTTTTCCAAAAAATCAATATACTTTAAATAAAAGAAGAATCGTATTTGTTTTGTTATTACATCCACTAAAATGGATATTACTCGAGACATCTGCGAGTTCTCACTACAAACTGGACAATGTAAGGGTTTAAGACTTAAATTAGAATGATATTCATAGATCTCGTTGGGTTCGTTATGAATCTTCTTGACCTTTTCCTTCGTTGCTAGCATAGTAGCAACGAAGACGAAGGTTCATAAATTGCTTAAGCTACTTGTTTGAATGCAAGCTTCTTCAAGGAGTACTAAATGGACATCCAAATACAGTGTATTCATAACAGAAATGTTGATTCAACAAACACTTGGTAGGAGGATTAGCCAACAGCAAGGCCAAATGTGCTTAGCTTGCTTTAATAATTACACTTCTTTCATTCCATATCAACTGCTTTAGGTTGACTTGACATGACTATTCAGACGAGTTAAAAATGTGAATTGTTAGTACTTGTGCAGTGAACATTTGCGCATACATTGACTACTATTTTTAGAGAATAGAATAGTGAAAAAGTTGTACTGAGAAGAAAAGAGAGGATCAAGCATACCTTCTTGCTCCTGTATACATTGTATTGGAACTGTCTTAATATGGGGAAAAAACACTGCATAGATTAACCAAAAAGGGAAGGAAAAAATTCTTTTTGGAACGAAGAGTAGCGAACTTAAAATGCTAGCCTTATTGTTCAAGGTCCAAATAAATGAACTAGAATATAACGCCCAGCTTAGAAAATCCATCTGATATGCTTGTGCAAGTGAAACTAGTTTGTGGAGATTATACCTCAAAGACCTATCTCGAGAGCTTGCGGTGTGGGGTAATACTGGGATGTTGTTGTTGTTGTTACCTGTCTCGAGGGCTTCTAAACTTCACCGGTTGCTATAATCAAATTTTTAATTTTCCTCCTGAGACGAGAATCTTTGTGCTGCACAGAAACGAGTTATACGCAATATTTATTAAGCAGCTACTATAATTATGAAATTCCGATTCATATTGTGATATTTCTATCGAGGAACCGATCACTTTGACCAAATATGACATCTCTGAAGTTAACAGCGACACCAAAAGTACTGAACAACCAAAATCAGCACAAGAATAATGGTGTAGGAGAACATCTGGCGTGAATAAACACTTCATCTTGAACACACGGGGAGATCACTTTCGAAATTCAGTCCAGATTTGCTATTACGGCATCCACAACTTCTTGGGTGGTACTATCTCCGCCAACATCCTTGGTCCTGTATTTACCTTCTGCAATTACATGCTTCACTGCAGTCTCTAGTCAGGATTTGCCTTTTTTTGTTCCACTATCTTCTCATTTCCTGCTGAAGCACCTTGCTCAAAAACGGCATGGTCCGCCCCAACATTACCTGGCACACGAAGTCCAATCTTCATTCATGTAATAAACACATGAATCATCTTAGGCATACTCCAATCGTTAAAGCTGCTCGGAAGATGAATGGCACTTTAAATGACACAAACCAAATTAGCAAGGAGGGAGATGAAAGAGGATATATGCAGAAAACCAACTTTTGAAAAGTATCCAAGTTAACTAGGAAGAAAACTGGCTGCTAATTATACACACCTCCTGACATTACACCTGTGCCTCCAGCAATACCAGCTGCTGTATTTGCCACCAGATTTCCATAGAGATTAGGGGTGACCTGTGACATACAATTTCAAAGCAACATCCACACGGGAAGATAGAGTGACAATGAAATTCAGAAGAAGAATGAAAGGACACAGAGGTAAGCGCACACATGATATAACAGACACACATCATACATGCATATTATCATAACACATGTCGCATATAATATGCGTGCCTCTGTGTGTGTATTCATCTGACCAAACAAATAATTCACGAGTTATTGATTAGACACACCACTGTTACAAACTCCAACAAAATGAAAGCATCATCTCTATTTCTCATGTCAGCAACCTCAAGTTCAAACTTCATCTTTTCAGTTTACTTACCATCACCCATCACCTCTTCCCCACCCTCCATTGTTTGAAAAAGAGAATATAAAGTATTCCTAAAATGTAACCTCGGCAAACTATTACCGTAGCTCATTCAACTACTGTATAAGGAGAGAAAATGCTTCAAATGATGATGAAAGTGAACATAGAGTGAACATCATGCAGCAAGGTAATAATTTCCGTAACCAAAAAGTAATCGTTGATCAAAATTAACTAAGACTAGTGCACTAAATCTTTACCATAACGTCAAATTGCTCTGGCTTCGATACAAGTTGCATGCAGCAGTTATCCACAATGATCTCGTCGTACTTGATACCAGGGTACTTGCTAGCAATCTCGCGACAAGACTCCAGAAACAAACCATCAGCGAGTTTCATGATGTTTGCTTTGTGCACAGCGGTCACTTTCTTGCGATTGTTGAGGTACGCATATTCAAAGGCATATTTTGCAATGCGCTCAGAGCAAAACTTTGTGATCACCTAGCAGTTAGATTATAAAAATAACAATTATAAGACTCAGACTCCCTCCAGGAGAAGCCATTACAAAATTCTTGAAGTTGAAATGGAAGTGCTGAACAGAAAGTATAAAGCAACACGCGAAGCATTCATGCCTCCTAACCAGAGTGGACAAAATCCAAAAAGAAAATGGAACACGGACACATTTCCTAGGGCCAAAAGACCAAGGAAAACAGAACACAGAAGAAATTCCCCAAGCACACACAACAACAAGCACATAGGAATCATTATAAGCATACAAATCAATAAGTTTTTGACTTCCAAAAAATCGAAAATAACTAAAAAAAGACAGCAGGTTATCCCAGCATAGAAATTGCAAATCCAGCTAGAAATACAAGAATCTACAGAAAGAATGTGACATGCAGTCAAAGGATTGAAGATAAGTGTGACCTCAGAAAGCCGAAGAACAGGGCAACATCCAATACAGCGAGAATGCTACTCAAGCTAGAAAGATATATACAATCCACTTTAAAGAGATCTTTTTTCTCTTTCCCTTTCTTTCAAGTAATACCTTGAAGTCAAATTGAAAGGGTAAAAGTGAAGGCCAAACAAGGAATGCAAGTCTGATTCATCTCATCTGATTTTCATCAATATTGCTTCTTGAAACTTGTGGATGGTGTATAAATTCATAGATCTCGGCCCCTCAAACTAATTCCTGCCCAGATGTAGTGCTGACTGCAAATTTATCAGTATTTTGGCCATGTTTCTAATCTTTTAACACTTGAAATCATTTTTAGCTCACCTTTCTCACTTAACCAGCATCACACAGGAAGATGTTGAATATTAAAGCTAGATGCCATGAAGATGTATTAGTACGAGATTTGTCCTATGAATGTGCATACATCAAAGATCTGATAGAATTTCCATGAGAAATTATGAAGTGGAAATTATAAATCTACGGAGGTCCCTATAGATTAGGTCACAAATTACAACTTGCTGACATGTTCTTCCCCCAGTGTTCTTCTATAGGATGGATAAACAATAGTTTGCATAAGTTCTTTTTCTATTTGATTGGTATAGTCTGCACATGTTCTATCAACTATCAAGGTGCTATGTATGAGATGCTAAAACTTTGATGACTATGAAGGGAATCCTGCTAAAGATAAAGAAATAGTCACTAAAGGGCAAATTTCCAAGAACTAAAAAAAAAAATTATGACTACTCTTGCATATACACAACTTTTTTTATCACCTCATTCTTCAACCATGGGTTCAACGTGGCTAGCTGGTATATGTGATCTTCTTATTTTAGACTTATGTTCTTCCTAATAGAATTGGTTCATGAGAGCATCCCTCTTTCACAGTACACACCATCTTGCACCATCTTGTTTATGCGGTTGCTGAGCTATTGTTGCTCCCAAACACACACGCAAGTATACGTGGTCGACAAGTAATATAATGATAAGTTAAGTGTCGAACCCACAGAGACTTGCTTAAACTACTCACTAAATCACTAAAATTGTTATTCAGTCCAGCTAAAATCAAAGTCCGATAATATGATTATATGATACTACGATTCTAAATAATAACTAAATTATCAAGTAACGAGTTGATTGTTGTGTATTCAGTAGAGACAAGTATTCCAGGGTTGTGATCGATTCACCAATCATATTGTGTTCTAATTAACTCTCCCCTTCATATAATTCACTCATGGTTGCTAATTAATCGATAAATGCTCTCATAGCCTTCTCCCGAAGTACTACTCACCTATTCTCAATAAATTAACGCCTATATTCCTATGAAATTAATCTATTAAGAACGCATTAAGATCACGATATTTAATTAAGCACGGTAACTAGGTATATTCCTATGCTAACCACAAATCCGCTCCCCCTAAGGGTTAAGATCATGCTCTCTTCAATTCTTCTCTAATCTAAAGACGGCTTTCCCAAGCATAGCATAGATAGTAAATAGAACCTAACTGCTGGCCAGACAACTAAGCAATTAAACACAGAATTGAAGAAACAACCATATGTTGGTGAATTATAATCAAGGTTAAGTTTATATCAAACAACAATATTCATGGCTAAATCACAACCCCAGAACAATGGGTGTTTAGCCACTCATGATGTAATCAACACAATTGCATAATTGTTGAATCAATTGAAAATACTAGAAAAAGATGAAGAAACTGAGAATTCTCCGCTTCCTCACGATCCCGTGTGTGTTTTTACTCCAAAGTGGCGTCTCTCCCCTTAAAAAATAGGTTTAGTCTTGCTTTTATACGTGTTGGTAGGTCTAGGGCCGAAATACCTGTCCCAGGCGAAATAGGACACATTTCACGTCACCGGCGCCCAGCTCGGCGCCAGGCGCCCTCCATAGAGCCCAAATATTTGTGCATACTGTTTTTGGCGCCACAGGTGGCGCCAGGCGCTGCCTGTGGCGCCCAACTGGCCCTTTTTTCCCGGTTTCGTTCGTTTTGGCTCAAATCTTGCACGTTTCGCCCCGTTCCGTTTGGAATTTGGAAAAACGTAAAATATGAAAGTTGTATCCCTTTGAGTTAGCTTTCCAATTATATATTGTGGAGACCAAATGGAGTTCTGAGAAGAAGATTACATATTAGATTACAAATAGAAAAGAAGAAGATAATTCTAATGGCCCTCAACATTTAGTTGAGTTAAAGTAGTAGTTTATAATTCACCGGACTTGGCTTATCACCGCACCAAAAGTTTTAGATTTACATTTGAATGCTACTGCTTGACATTTAATACCAAAAACGGTAGTCAAAATTGACATATCAAACAAAAATAGATCAAGCCCAAGAATTCTCCTTCAGGATGAGTTGTATTCTTCTTTTTCTTTGGAACTTCTTCTAATGCTCTTCCATTTCTCAAGGTAACCGCATTGACTTGAGCTTTAGGATTGGGCTCAGTATCACTAGGAAGAGCCCCTACTGGTCTGGTATTTTGGGCTCTAGCAAGTTGGCCCACATGGTGCTCCAAATTTCTCAGTGCTGTGGCTTGAGCCTGCTGATCAGCCATTATTTTCTGTTTGAAAGTTTGTTGATCTGCTATTAATTTCTGATTGAAGACTTGCTGATTTGCTATTAATTTCTAATTGAGGGCTTGCTGGTCGGCCATCAATTTCTTCATCATCTCCTCAAGGCTAGCTTGTTGTTCATCCTGAGGTGGTCTGGATTGTTGTTGAGGTGCTTGAGGCCGGTATTGATTCTGATTGCCTTGGTTTCCACCCCAGGAGAAGTTTGGGTGATTCCTCCAGTTGGGGTTGTAAGTGTCCCCCTACTGATTTGTTTGGCCTCGATTTGCATTACCCACAAAATATACAAACTTTGGATTTGTTGGGCATAGATTGCTTATGTGACCCTCTCCACATACTTCACAAAATATTTGAACTTGTTGCACTGGTTGGGCTTGTTGCTTGTTAATGATCATGGTCATCTGATTGACTTGGTTGGTCAGCGTAGAGACCTGTGCTTACAATGCTGAGACAACATCTAATTCGAGAACCCCTGGTGATTTTTGTACCATGTTCCTACCTATCTCTCCTTGCCAATCCGGATTGCTTTTGGAGAATTTGTTCAATAGTGCATAAATTTCATCAAAGCTTTTCTCCAATACTTGACCTCCAGCTGCAGCATCTACTACAATTTTTGTTTGGGGATGGAGCCCTTCTATGAAAGTGTGAACTAACACTTCATTCGTCTGATTGTGATGAGGACAGTCTCTGAGTAGCCCCTTGAACCTTTCCCAAGCTGAGTATAACGGTTCTCCTGCTTTCTGTTTGAAGGCAACTATCTCACTTCTGATCTTTGCAGTTTTGCCTGAAGGAAAAAACCTTGCCAGAAATTTTCTTGCCAAATCATTCAATGATGTAATGGAATTAGCTGGTTCTGCCTTTAGCCATCGCTTAGCCTCGCCCAACAGAGAGAATGGAAAAAGTGTGAGCCTCACATAATCTGGAGTGACACCGTTAGTGATATAAGTATCACTAATCTCCAAGAAGTTCAAAATATGCTGCTGTGGATCCTCGTGTGGAAGACCCATAAGTTGCCCGTTTGCATGAAGTAACTGGATCATGCTCTGTTTCAGCTCAAGTGCTCAGTGATCCTGGGCTTCACTATACTGGAGGTGACATTAGCAATGCTGGGCATCGCCACCTCCTGAACAGCCATGGGTTGCTCCGCTGCCATGTCCACAGGAAATTGAACAAGTGCCTGAATATTATTCGTGTCCCTTGCTTCCCTCAACCTCCTGTGAAATGTTCTCTCAGGTTCAGGATCAAAGCCTTGAAGTCGGTCCTGGCTTCTGACCCTACGCATTCAATCAGAGTTCCTGAGATCTGAGCAACAATCAAGTAACGTTAGACTAGACGAAATAAACAATTAAAGCAAAAACTAGCAAGTAGTTAATCCCCGGCAACGACGCCAAAAAGTTGTTGTTCCCAAACGCACACGCAAATATACGTGGTCGACAAGTAATATAATGATAAGTTGAGTGTCGAACCCACAGAGACTTGTGTAAACTACTCACTAAATCACTAAAATTGTTATTCAATCCAGCTAAAATCAAAGTCCAATAATATGATTATATTATACTACGATTCTAAATACTAACTAAATTATCAAGTAACGAGTTGATTGTTGTGTATTTAGTAGAGACAAGTATTCCAGGGTTGTGATCGATTCACCATTCGTATTGTGTTCTAATTAACTCTCCCTTTCATATAATTCACTCATGATTGCTAATTAATCGATAAATGCTCTCATAGCCTTCTGCCGAAGTACTACTCACCTATTCTCAATAGATTAACGCCTATATTCCTATGAAATCAATCTATTAAGGACGCATTAAGATCACGATATTTAATTAAGCACGGTGACTAGGTATATTCCTATCCTAACCACAAATCCGCTCCCCATAAAGGTTAAGATCATGCTCTCTTCAATTCTCCTCTAATCTAAACACGACTTTCCCAAGCATAGCATAGATAGTAAATAGAACCTAACTGCTGGCCAGACAATTAAGCAATTAAACACAGAATTGAAGAAACAACCATATGTTGGTGAATTATAATCAAGGTTAAGTTAATATCAAACAACAATACTCATGGCTAAATCACAACCCCAGAACAATGGGTGTTTTAGCCACTCATGATGTAATCAAACAATTGTATAATTGTTGAATCAATTGAAAATACTAGAAAAAGATGAAGAAAACTGAGAATTCTCCGCTTCCTAATGATCCCGTGTGTATCTTTCCTCCAAAGTGGCGTCTCCCCTCAAAGTTGTGTTTTTAGGATGTATTTATATGACCTAGGGTTGATGAGGGGCAGAATTCTTCAATCCAACTTCGGATGGGAGAGCTGGAATCCGCGTCTGCCTTCGTGTCTAGACGCGGACCTTCGCGTCTAGACGCGGACTTTGATGCGGATCTAGCTTTTGAGATTGTTCCATTTCACGAAGCGCTCCGTGCCTTTGCTTCGCTTCGCTGTTTTGTGCCTTAAATTTTCTCCTTTTTTGCGTCCGACTTCGTGCCACGCACGAGAATAGACGAGCTCCCACTCCTTTAATTTCTTCTTTTTGTGTCGAATTGTCATCTTTTGATCATTTATCATCCAAAATCGTTCCTACACATAAGAAACACATAATGAGTATATTTCACTTCAAAAATCATGTAATCTCCCGCGACACACACAAGAATTAATATACAAATACATTCAAAAATATGCACTTTTCATCATTTATCAGGACATTTTAAGCTCTTACCATAACGAACTTGTTTTGTGAATTAGTCTTAAGCAGGCTTATTTCTGTTAACACATGCGCACCCTTTCCCTTTCCAGCTTTATTTGGATTTAATTGCTTATTTCTCAAGAATTTACGATTTCCTTTATTGCCCGAAACTGACTTATCTCCTTGTTTTCTTTTTTGTAACTGTCTTTCAATTATTTAAATACTGCATTTATCATTTTTAAACGTGCAAATACTTGACAACATGCTATTTATTGTTGCATAAAACATGTTCAACATCATTCCACTCATGCAAAATTAATCCTATAGCAATGCTTAATGAGTGTTTGCGCTCTTCCTATATATCACCCTTTTAAATTCGGGAAGGCGTATTTGCGGTAAAACTAGTCGATCAGCGGTGCATTCGACGGTTCCGTGCCTTTCCCCCTCAAGTTGTGCGCTTGAGGGTCCCAGTCTAGACCTCTATAGCAACCTTACTCTGATCAATTGTGCACGCATCATGGTCAAACCTAGCCGGGTTAATATGTTGTCCACATAATAACCCTTTAAGAGAAGCCTCGCCCAAAAGTCCATCGGGTTTTCCATAATCCCAACGACGCAACCATAATTGTGTGCATTAATTTTTGGAGAAATAAGTGCC